AGAAATACAGCCCTAAATTCAGAGGGATAAAGTTGGGTGTCAACACCCCGGAAACCACCAAGCGCTTCCCCACGAACGCGGAAACGACAACCAAGGGTCAAGATTTGTCAGGAGGAAGCCACTCTGTAAGGCCCAGGTGACAAACACCAGTGGCTGTGGGTTTGAGACTTTCAGGCAGGATGTCTGACACTCCAGGGGCTGCACAGACTTCCCCTTCAGGGCTGTGGGGACACACAAAGCCCCTGCTGTGCTCAGCACCAAGAGCAGCTGACGACGCACCTCAGCACCCCTTTGGTGCTGCTTTAACGCGCCCTGGGTGAGGTGGTACCTGCACAACCACGTGCAGTGACCCAAACTGGGGAAGTGACCTGATTCAAGGACAAAACCAAAAGGAAACAAAATAATAAAGCAAATCTGGCTCGGTGCCACAGTGTAGTTTAACTGTATCCCCTCCCCAGCACAGCAAACACCCAACTCCGCCACATGTCCAGGGGTGAGTGGGGGAAATAGGTAGCAAATTGCACTACTGTTTCCAAACTTTGGGTTCATGAAACCTTGGTTTTTTTCTAATGTAGAAAATGAGAAACAAATTATCTAATGTCTGCTGGAGGGTCAGGGCCAGCCCTTATTCAGGGCCAAGGCTCAGACAGGGCACCAAAAGCAAAACATGACGGTTTTCCCAGCGTAGACCACAGCAGCTTATGGAAAACTTCTCCAGAAACATGTTTTGTTTTGGTTTTTTTATTAATAAAATTAACTCCACCTGGAGGTCTTTGCTATTCACCCAAATATTTATGGATGTCCCATTGCATAAATTATAGTGAATTTTATCACAAAAAGCCCAAGAAGAATATTCAGCAGTTTCATTAAGTAACTGAAAATCATCACTTCAAGAATATTATTTCTGATTTTTAAAAGGGGAGTTCAAGGAACGTTGGTAAAGAAAATTAAGCCAGTAACATGAAGCCTTGCTAAGTTACTATTTCCAGTGCAGCAGGAAAAATGGGAATGTTTAATTTTTCAGGCTTTACTTTTCTGCAAAAGAAGGACATGTGAGAAAAGTAACTTTTCCAAAACACAGCACTAAGTGTCTGTAACACTGCAAATACCAGATTAAAGTTACAGGTGCCTCTATTCTTCATGTAAACCAACCATGATGTATCAAAACATAGGAAGTTTAGTTTACACAGGATTAATTTGCTCATCTCACCCATAGTTTTTGGTCTGATTTGACACTAGAGACAGCAGTTGTGTTCTCTTCTAACATTTAAGTGTACCAGGTGTTGGAGTCCAAGTAACAACAGGTTCACAGAAGCTTAACCATTTTCTATCAGTATGTGCAAAACTGGTATCAGTCCCCTAACATCAATTTGCAGTTGCACTTTTCTTACTCTAGATTTTCACATGTATAACCAGAATTAAATTTCTCCCCAGATGATCTATTTAAAGAAACATTTCCTTTATTTTGTGCATTAAACCCTTTGATTTTAACCACGCTGCAAGGTCAGAGGTAACCTCAAATGTCATTAAGGTCCTTCCCTTTCAGCAGGAATCAATATTTCAGCTGAATATTAATTAGGAGGCTGCAGAGGCAGAGCTGAGGCCTTAGAGGTATTGCTGCTGAACATCACTATTTACCATAATTAAACAGAAAGCCTTAGTCAACCCAGCACTGAACTATGAGCACAGAGGGTCTAACCCCAGTCTGTCACTGGCTTGTTAGGTAACTTTAGCCCAGCCATTTTAGCAGAGTGTTATTTGAATGTTCCTTTCAAAGACAGTTCCCAGGTTTACCCAGGAATCATCTACAGGGATGTCATGGCGTGGCATAAAGTCAGTACATGATCCTTAAAGGTGAAAAACAGAAACGAGAGCCACTGTCAGCCTGAAAAGACACAAAGAGCTCTGTGCAGATCATTGCCAGTGGTTCTTGTAAGCTTGTTCCCCTCTTAAAAACCACATACAAACCATATACATCACCCTGTGACGTACTGGCACGTGCTTTTAGACTTCAAAACCAGCCACAGTCTGCTTGTGAACCTTTACATTATTACAGAAATAATCAGCCCTAATGCCTGACTTTCCCTAGGGATTTAAACACAGTTCTACCACCACCACTATGACACATTCAAACAATCAGAAAGGAGCTGTGGACAGCAGGGCTAGTAGTTGGTTCTAAATCTGGCTGGCACCTCGAAGCAACTCCAGAGTCCCGAGCAAAGCAGATAAACCCTTTTTCAAGCAAACCTTCCATGCCACATTCCCCCAGAAATCATCAGGGAAATTATGTAATGTGTAGTATTTCACTACAAAAAAAAAGCCAGTATCTTATTTCTCTGAACCAGGGAATACATTTATCATCATCTTCAACGAAGTCTGAAATCAATTCCCTTCTACAAAAGCAAAGGTGGTACTGGAGATAACCAGTAAGTTTACATGGGGAGACAGTTTGTATTTCAATTTTGTTCTCTCAAATGAAAATGACAGAAGAAATGCAGCACAAATTACCATAAAAGATATGAGATCAAGTCAGCACACATACCAATAAAAGAAATAACTTGGGGAAGAGTCAATCCCAGTTAAAAACTGGTTGGTGTGGAGCCTCAGTGCCAGGACAGGACAGCTCCCCATTTTCACCAGGACAGCTTGGATTGCAAACACTGAGTGCACAAAGATGTCTGTACAAAAATGGGGCAGCGCTCTGAGGATTTCTCTGCCCTCAGATGGATACAACGGAGTATCTGCCACAGTCAGAGATGGGGGGCAGGGAGGAGAACCTGGCCAGAAAGACCTGATAACTGTAGCAGAAAAGCCTGTACTTTGAACCAACCGCGCTGCAGAGTTCCCACGCTCAGAGCCCATTTACCTACGGTAGGAACAGGGCCGGGACACGGGGGTGCTTCATAAGATGAAACAAATTAAAGCATATCCAAATCGACAACACCCAGCAGGACAGGAAACTGCTGTGTGCCTGCCCTGCACCCTGCCTAGCACGGCCTTGTGCTGCCGAGGTCTCCTGATGGAGGAGAACAAAATGAGATCTCTAGAGACTACAAGGGCTGTATTTTCAAAGGCTGCATGAAGTCACAGCTGAGAAGCAAGAGGTGGAAAGCACCATTCCCCACGAATAGGTGACCCAAGGGGAGTCCCTTTAGGTTGGAGCTTGCCATGAGGTAAGCCTGGTGTGCAGCACTCCCTCAGCCTGGGAAAAACAAGAAGTTGCATAAACAGGAAAGATGATAAACTCCCCCTCTGAGAGCATGCTTCGTGCATCTGCTAAAGGTTTTACAAGATCTAATGCAGACCAGATTCCCCCCCAGCATCACAAGAGAGCTAGAGCAGCAATGCTCTTTCCCTGTGTAGGATAACTAGCAGAGTCCTCAAGCTGTTCCCAGAATTGTTTGCCTCCCAGGTTATGACTTAATTGTAACAGGACATGCACACACAAAGCAAATCCTTCAGCATGTGAAAAGCAAAGAGGAGTGAATCATTGCTGATCCTGCCATTTTTTCTTTTTTTTTTTTTTTTTAATCTCTTTTACAAGCTTCTCAAGTGGTGCAGCCCTAAAAGGATGAAAAGACCTTATCATCAAGCCTTTTTCCACCTGAGAGCCAAAACACTTAATGCCCAAACCACACACAGCACAGCCCAGTGACTGAAGCACCACCTGTGAAGGAGGCAACCTGGCTCCAGCTGCCTTGCTGAGAGAGGCTGGGCCACTCCCTTCACCTCTCGTGCCATGTTTCCCATCCCACCCACCTAATGGGTTTACTGACTTTTCATTCCCTTGAGCTCAGCTCTACAGCTCTCACCTTCTTTTTTCAAGACTGCCTTGACTTCCACACCTCTACTCCTGTTATGCTGCTGTAACCTCGAGTGGCTTTAGGAACAGCAGCACAATCATATTTAGCTAACAAGTTTCTAGCCATGTAATTCAAAGTTATTAACCTCTTTGCTTACACTAATTTAACATAATAAAAGCAAAATAAAGCTTTATTTACAAAACCAAAAGACACACGGGAGGCGGGAGGGAGGGCATTCACCAATTCAACTGAATTTGTACCAGTCCATTCCAAGAATTTACTTGCCCTTTGAAACGGTGTATTTTGATTTTACTTGAAATCCATTTCCAACTGAACGAGCTAAAGTAAAGCCCCATTGGATACGGTTTGCAAGGGTCAAATAAATCCACGTAGGCCGTATCAGATCTTCTGCGATCAAGGCAAGGCCCAAACCAGTTGAAAAGCAGCACAGGGTTTTCCTGCACAGCAAATCACCGGACCAAGCAAGGCTATAGGCGGCCAGACAACTTCCCAAGGGACATGGTAAGGAGTGGGCTGGCAGGGGATCAGCTCACAAGGACAGCGAACCACCAGTCTGGGTGTTGTGACTCTTCCCTGGGCAGCACTTTTCCCACGTTCTACCCTAGAAAAACTTTATGTGCCATTTGAGTAACACAGCATTTCTCCCGATAAACCTTAACCTGCTGTACAGATTAGATCTGGACTTTCCTCTTAAAAAAATTTAAAAGAATAATAAAAATAAACAATATAACAATAACAAAAACAACAACGATAATAACAAAAACAACAACAATAATAACAATAACAATAATAAATAATGCACCAACGACACGGAACCGCACCAAACCAAAACATTATGCAAACTAAAGCCTGCTGGTTTATTTTCGCAGTGGTCCCCAGCTGAGGAGGCGATTTAACAGCGACGCAAGATTCCTCCCTCCGCACAAAAAACAGGGGTATGAGAGCATCACCACCTCACCCCGGTCCCGGGCCGGCACAGCCCGCAGAGCCGGGGCCGGGCGGGAGGAGAAAGAGAAGCGCTCAGCCGCCTCCCTGGCACATCCCCGGCACGGCGGAGGGGCTCGGGGCAGAAAGGCCTTTCCTTTCCCCCACGCCAGCCCTTCCCTCGCCCGGCTGTCAGGCTCGAACGCCGTGCCCGCACAGGGCCCGGGCACCCCCGCACCGGCCCCGCCTCACCTCCTTGAGCTGCTCCATCTCGGCGCGGATGGTCTCGTACTCCAGCTCCAGCTCCTCGTACTGCTGCTTCAGCTGCTGCTTCTCCTCCAGCACGGCGAGCCCGTACTCCGCCGCCTGGATCTTCTCCCGGGTGGTCTCGCCCAGCTCCTGGAAGAGCCGCTTGATCTCGCTCCGCAGCCATTCGGGCTCCGACTCCATCACCAGCCGCGAGTACTCCTCCTCCTCCATGGCCAGCGACATGTCGGCGGGCGGGCGAAGGGGCGAAGGCGCAGCCCAGCTGCCCGCTCCCTAGCAGCGTCGGGGGCCGCGGGCGGCCGGGGCAGGGCCCGCTGGGGCCGCCATGGACGGGCCGTGCGGGCGCAGCTCCCGCCGCCGATGCTGCCGCTCCCCGCCCGTCCCTCCCGCCGCGGCCGCCGAGCGCTCTGAAATCATTCAAAAGGCACGGCCGGGACGGCGCCGCGCGGCCCGCTGGGAAATGGAGTCCCCGCCCGCCGCCGCTGCGTGCGCCTCGCCGCCCGCCGGGCCGCGGCGGACTACAACTCCCGGCGTGCACCGCGAGGGGCGGTGGCGGCGGGCGGTGGTGGTGGGGAGAGCGGCCCCTGGCGGGCGGAGCGGGAGGCGCAGCGCGGGGAGAGAAGGGAGGGGGGAGAGCGGGGGCGTCGGAGCGGGGGCCTGGGGTACCCAAATTGGGCAAACAGACCCCAGGATAACCCCAGGGTACCCAAATTGGGCACACACATCCCCGGATATCCCAGGGTACCCAAAGTGGGCACACACACAGCCAGGATAACCCCAGGGTACCCAAATTGGGCACACACACCCCGGGATAACCCCCGGGGTACCCAAATTGGGCACACACAGCCCGGGATAACCCCCGGGGTACCCAAATTGGGCACACAGACCCCGGGATAACACCCGGGGTACCCAAATTGGGCACACAGACCCCGGGATAACCCCCGGGGTACCCAAATTGAGCAAACACACCCCGGGATAACCCCCGGGGTACCCAAATTGGGCACACAGACCCCGGGATAACCCCGGGGTACCCAAATTGGGTACACAGAGCCCAGGATAACACCCGGGGTACCCAATTTGGGCATACACAGCCCGGGATAACCCCTGAGGTGCCCAAATCGGGCACACACTCCCCCGGATAACCCCCGGGGTACCCAAATTGGGCACACACACTCCCACGGATACCCCTGGGGTACCCAAACTGGGCACACACACACCCCGGGATAACACCCGGGGTACCCAAATTGGGCACACAGACCCCGGGATAACCCCAGGGTACCCAAATTGGGCACACACAGCCCGGGATAACCCCCGGGGTACCCAAATTGGGCGCACACACTCCCCGGGATAACCCCCGGGGTAGCCAAATTGGGCAAACACACCCCGGGGACACAACCCGGGGTACCCAAATTGGGCACACACAGACCCCGGGATAACCCCCGGGGTACCCAAATTGGGCACACACAGACCCCGGGATAACACTCGGGGTACCCAAATTGGGCACACAGACCCCGGGATAACACCCGGGGTACCCAAATTGGGCACACACCGTGGGATACTCCCGGGGTACCCCCGGGTACCCACCTCGGGACACCCAGGAGAGGACAAAAGGTCCCCGGGGAAGGCTGTGCTGGCACCAGCCCCACGCCGTACCCAGAGCTGCCAGCACCTCACTGTTCCCAGTGTTCTACATCTCCAGTGCAATCCCTGCTACGAGGCGTTCTCCGTCCTCCCACGGGGACCGAACCGTGCCCCTCGCGTCCCCCCGAGGATGAGCAGGGCCGCGGGACAAGGCGCTCCCGGCACCGCTGCCTGCTGGACGGAGGGATGGGTGGCAGCGAGACCCGCTGGAAGGAGGGATGGGTGGCAGCGAGACCCGCTGGACGGAGGGATGGGTGGCAGCGAGACCCGCTGGAAGGAGGGATGGGTGGCAGTGAGACCCGCTGGAAGGAGGGATGGGTGGCAGCGAGACCCGCTGGAAGGAGGGATGGGTGGCAGCGAGACCCGCTGCAGTGACCAGCTGTGTGACACTGGCACTCCGGGCAGCTGTGCTGCCCTTTCTGGAAAGGATTTGCCAGCCTGTGGGGCTGCTGCCATCAGCCTGTGCCCCAGGTTACACCGCTGGGCACATCTGGTGGCAAGGGGCTTGGGACAGCACGGGTTAGAACCTCTAAATTAAATGATTTCTGAAGTGTAATGAAGACTAAACCGAGACAAACCTCTGCTGGTTGGAGCATTGGAATTCCTGAGCAGCCCCATAAAGGTGGCGTGGGTCTGGCCCCGTGGGGGGGAGGTGACAGCTCCACGCCCGTTGTCACCTTCCCTTCGAGTGGCAAGCGCAGCTCGGGCTTTCTTCCAGTGTCAAAACCGATCAGTAATGAACTGGTGAGCAAACGCCGAACACAATAAAAACAATTACGTTGTTTGAGCACTCCACAAAGGTCTCAGACATAAAGCATCGTGTTTGCTCGCGGCTGCGGGGGTTTTTCCGAGCTGCTTTGAACTTCTGCTCGTGTTCATCACGCTCTGTCCCGGCGCACTTATCCCTTAGCCCTTTAATGAGCTGGGTAATGGCTGAGTGCTGCCTCTGAATCATGAAGCTGCCTCAGTCAGTTTTTCTTCAGCACCCTGACACTGCCTGGAGTGTCTCATGTGCAGGGGTGTGTCCCGTGAGCACTGATGTGACACTTAAACAGTCACCTGCACCTAAGAAGCAGCAAATCATTGTCCTCAGCCTATGGCCATTTTTATTTTCAGAATTCCTCAGGAAATTTAATTTTTTTTTTTGTCAGTAGCAAATATCTCCTTGGCCTAAGCTGGAAAATACTCACTTACCTACTCAGTGATTAATATGTCAGCATTGGGACAGTGCCAGGTTTTAAATCCATATCTCTTACATTTGGGCACTACCTGGGGCTGCCTGTGATCTTACATTGTTTTTAACAGGGGCAAAGCACACCTTTGCCCTCGGCAGATCAGGACCATGCAGGACTGTAAACCTCCCAGGCAACCCCATTTCATGTGAAACCATGAAACCTCATTTCTACCCAAAACCTAAGACTTCAGCTGCTTGGTTTTTTTGTTTGTTTGTTTGGTTGGTTGGTTTTTGCTTTGTTTTGCTTTGTTTTGTTTTGTTTGTTTTTTAATTTTATTTTTATTTTTGTTTGGGTTTTTTTTGTTTGTTTAGTTTTGTTCTTCTTGGTTTTTTTTTCCCAGAGAATATGCTGCTTTGGCAAATTCTAGTATTACAACCCAAAGGAATCATTAGAACAGAGTGTCACTGAGGGTCACCTAAAGTCAGCAATAATTCCCACTCCCACCCCCCATTCAATCCCACAACTGATTCATCAATAAGACATTTTTAATAATAACTGCTGGCTTGTTTTCTTTCACTTCATACCTTCTAAGCCTTCGTTGTGCTCAGGGTTTTCTCTGCAACTTCAAACTCGACCACAAATTAGCTACCCTTTAGTGCTCCTCCCTCTCCTAAACTGAAATCTGCAAGCAATGGCTTGCTCTCAGGACACGAAGCTTCAGTTCACATCCTGAATATTTTTTGGATTACAAGTGAATTGTGAGACTTGACCAGTTTGGGGGGATTAATAGAGACGAGCCGATCAACTCGTCACAACACAAGGGACTTCACTGGGTATTATTGGTTTTCTGGGTCATTCCTAAAATGACAGCCTGTTGTTAGGTTTCACATTTTGTTAATTTGCTAAACTGCCCGAGATGCAAAGGCAAATATCCAGCAGCAATTACAAATATTGCAATAGCTATTTCAAAAGCTGAGGTGGAGACTGTTGGTCTTCTTTTTCCTGTTGAGATTTTAATCACTGAGTGCAAAGCAGAAAAAATACACAGGAATCATCCTGGGTACTAAAATAAATTCTAGTGGCGTTTCTTCTTGTGGGAGTTAACCCACAGAGAAAAATTTCCCCAGTGGACAAGTCACAGGAATGGCAAAGCCCTGCAAGGTTAGTTTTATTTAACCTGAGTTCCAGCTCCAAAGCAGTCAGGCACTCAAGTCCAGCACCACAAAACATTCAGGAGTCTGAATGTGGAAAGCCCACCTAACCTGTGCTTAAAACTGGGGTCACTGCAGACATGAGAATCCTTAGAGATTCCTTTCTTTTCATAGATTACTTTGAAGTAGTTCGAGTGTACAACAATTAGGTGGTACAGTACATCATAATTTCATTCTCCTTTCAGCCACTGAATTCTCCTTTTAGCCACTTTGCAGCTCAGCTACAGCAAACATCAGAGCAAGAAAGTCTTTAGACTGGCCCTGGAGCAGCCATAAGAAACCCTGGTGAGCTGTTCCCAATTCCTTCTCTTGCTTTCCATTTAAGAAAAAACAAGTTACTTCAGGAGTAAGAGCACTTTGGAATTGCTTACTTTGTTTGGTGAAGGTGTGGTTATGACAATTCTTAAAGAAAATGTGCTTCGAAATAAGAACCTGGAAGTCTCAGGTGCCTTGATAACATTTATTTACAGGAGTTTGGTGAGTTCCTGGCAGAAAGCTGCTGGAGGTAACATCCCCACATGGAACTGCAGTAAAGGATCATGCTTATGCTTCCTGCTGCTGAAAATCACAGAATAGAATAACACAGTGGGTTGGGTTGGAAGGGACCTTAAAGGCCACCTAATCCAGCCCCCCTGCCATGGGCAGGGACATCTTCAGCTGTTAGGTCTTTCAAACAACCCCAAACTGCCCCCACACCACCTCTGGTACCAGTCCCTCCTCACCATCAATGCTCCCTTCTAAATCATCATTGCAAATCTGACTGACGAGCAGTAAATGAGCTGCTGTTACTCTCTTTTGATGGAGTAACACACACTTACTTGGCTTTAAACCAAGCCTGTTTAATTTTAAATAAATCATTTAGGCACACCTTTAAACTGAAGCAAACCATGAGTCTGCACACTGGGGTGTACCAGTTTAAGCAAGTGGATCGTTGCAATGTTGCTTCTTTTTCTTTTTTTCCATCTTCATTTTCTTACTAAAGCATGAAAGAGTCACAGGTTCCAAAGGCCACCTGCAGGGGATTAATACAGCTTATGTAGGCACACAGAAATGCAGCAGGGACTGATTTTGCTTTTCTCTGTAGAAGAAAGAAATATTTCTACTTCCACCAGTGTGAGAAAAGAAGTTTGTGTATTTCTCCTCTTCTCATGAGCTCTGGAATAAGGCAGCCAGAGCCTGCTCTTGGCTGCACTGTGACATGCAGCAGGCATGGAGTCTCTGGAGTCTGCTGAATCACTCCATGGTGACGTGACGTGGGTGAAATCAGTGGGTCGGAGTTCTGGCCCCAAGAGAGGGTGTTCTCCTCACACCGATGGGACACAGCAGCCTGGATGCCTTTGAGCATCACCTCTGCAACCCCTGCAACGGGCCAGAGTCCCAGCACGCTGCTGGCACCTCCTCCTCCACCCTTTTTGCTGGAGAGCTAAGCTGGGAGGAAGGGTGAGGCAGCACTTCTGCAGTCAGATGATCTCCTGACTGCTGGAACATCTCCCCGGCAATGCCACTTTAACCAATATAAGGGCGAGCCTCTGGGGAGTGCATCAGATCTGCTTCTGATTCAAGGCAAGGCTCATGTGAAAAGTCACTTTCAAAAGTTTCTCTCTCCTTCCAGCCAAGCACACTTCTGTGGCACCTGGGCCAGGATTTGATCTGTTTTGAAGGTCCTAATGCCACTCTGTAGGTGATGAATAAATTTAAAACAGGGTATTTTTTTTCCCCCACCAGGGAAACCAACCTGTAAATGACATCTTCTTCTGATGCATTCCTGTCCCATGGCACTGCTCAGCAGCACATCAAGGCTTGTTAGTCCTTCTCTGCTCCTTTTGCCCTCTTCTAAGCATTTCTCAGCGCCAGCTTCCTAGATTAAATTAAGGAAAAACATGGGAGGGGGAAGCAAGAAACCAAAACCTAACTGTGGCATTCTGTGGTATTAATTTCATTAATTTGCAAGCTAATCAGCTAAATACTTCATGGTAGGTCTCAGCTCTTTGGTAATTTCCTCTGTTACATAAATACAGGGGCCCCTACGTGACAAGTCCGTCAGGTTTAAGTAAAGGAAAAGCAGAGGGCTGGAGAGGCTGTGCAGGCTGGCAGCAAAGAAAAGTTACTGCAGTTTGGGAAGAGGTACTGGAGAATATTATTTCCACTTGCACAGTTTGGGAATTCACAGATTTCACCAATATTTGTTGAAATTCCTGTATTATTTACTAATAGCGGGAATCCCTATATAAATTCCTGTTATTTATTCCTATTAAAACGCTTTGAAGAAGCAAAATGTAGCGTAGGGACCAATGTCAGCAGCTGGCCACTGAGGCAGGGCTCAACTTTAGCACCTGGAAATATTACTGTGGGGGGTTAAGATTGTAACATTAGGTTTCTATTTTATGCATCTGGTTAGAAATAAATAGATTTCATCCTTACCCTGTGATGTCTGTCCCTCTGTTCTGATCACCAGATAACACTGCCAGAACTTATTAAAAACACCTGCTATAAGAACCAAACCAAAACTAACAAAAAAGCCCCACCAACCCAAACCCAAAATATTATAATAATAATAATAATAATAATAATAATAATAATAGGCAACACCAAGAGACTAGAAAAACATCTGATGCATAAAAAGAGATAACTCTAACATGTTGACATAGGCAGCATTTTCATTGTTATAAAATCCACAATTAAAAGATAATAAAACATAATAAAATGCTTCACTTCTCACTGCTCATATCAATTTAATTTCCCCTTGTTAAATGCAGCCATTTAAGGAACTAGACCTTCATGGGGCACATTCAGTAGTTACTGCAGTTTTATATGTCTCCATATGATAATGGGGTGCCTAAAACACATAAAAAAAGAAAACTGTTAGCAAAACTATAAACAAAAAATAGAAAACAGCAAAAAATAGACTTTTGCTGTCTTCTTCTGTCAGGAAAAACTATAGAATGGCCAAAGCATGAGTTACATTTCACGAAAAACTAAACCAGTCTGAAGGAAATTGTGTAACTCAGTGTAGCTTCTTTTATGGCATCACCCCCTCAAATGGACTGTCACTGGAGGGCTGGGGTTTTGCCCCTGGGAGAGCAGCTCTTGAGCTCTTCACAGCATGTCCTGCACATCCCACGTCCATGTAAGGCACCTGTGCAGGGAAGGGGTTGTTCTTCTTCAGGAGCACGAAAGAGCCCCTCTTATCACAGAGGAAATTTGTTTCTGAGAGTGGCTGGTAGGTACATTTCATCTTTTGTGGAAAAGGTGAGTCATATCCTTGTCAGGAACACAAACTGCAGGTAAAAAAGCCACCCTGAACTGTGTGCTTGGTGTTTGTGTGAAAGTCTCCAGGTAGCAAAACTAGGTAATGATTATTTGAATGTTTGATATAGATAACTACTATTTATATAGCTTGACATCCATATGGATGGCCATGGAACAGCTGTGAAGTGTAACCCCTTTCACACAGAAGTATATATTAACTTCTGGGAATGCTTCTGCATTCTGGGTGCTCTGTGTTTTGACAGAGGGAGGATCTCTGGGGCACAGGCTGCCCTGACAGCCTCTCCTGTGTTCATCTGAGAGCAGCCCCCATGAACAGAAGGCCTCTTGGGAGGAGTCCAACATCCCAGTGGAAGGTCTGGTCTCCCACAGCTTGGCTCAGGTACTCCCAGGCTCTCTGGGGAATGAACACCTCCCACTTTGCTGCTCCCCCACAACCAGGCAGAATTGCCCAGCTGTGAAATTTCCTTCCACTCAGCACTGTGCAGAAACCTGCTGCCCCCACCACCCCAAACTGGCCCCTGGATCAGCCACTCTGCCCCCCTGCACAGAGCTGAGCCCTGGCCACCAGCCAAGGGGCACGCCAGGCTGGGGGCTCCCAGCTCATGGGGCTTCGGCAGCTCCTGCCAGCCAGCCTGTTCACCTAACAGCAAAGAGCATTATCCTGGGCCTGGCACACTTAATTCCTTTATCTTGTTCTGCACAGCTTCTTTCCAGCAGGGTAAAGCCAGGATATCCCCTAACTGAATTACTCACAGGCCTGTGGCTTGTTCTGATGCTGCAGCACCAGCGGAACAGAAGGAAAATACTACAGTGGCAGCGTAGGAAGGAGAAAGGAGAATGGATTGCCCACCCAAGGCTTGGAAGGTGAAGCAAAGACAGGAGGAGTTCTACTGTTAGAGGATTCATACGCACTAACAAACTAATATACACAGGAACTGTAATTAATTGAGTTGTTCTGCTGGCTCGTAAGGTACTGAGCAGAAGATTGAAGTCTCTATGATGTTGTATTTATTAAAAGAGAGCTGAGATTGGTTTCCATGCTGAAGATATTCCTGATTCAACATCACCCTGAAGGAAATGTTGAAGGATGAGGTAGAAGGAGATAAACTGATTGAAAAAAATATAAACCCTATGTCTTTCATATGCAAGGTTAGGACAAAATACAAAAAAATGGGAACATGAGCTGTACTTATTCCAGGGGCTTGCCACGTGCCAGAACTTTCCATATGCAAATAGAACACTTGTGAGGTGAAATGAGGAGTCATTTTTTCCTGCTTCTGTAAGCACACAAATCCATTGTCAGCCCCAAGCTCCCTAAAGCTGTCTGTGGACAGACCTGCACAGCCCTGTTACAGATTTGTCTATGCCTGTGATTCAGTGTGGTGACACTTCATGTGTCCCCAGATGCTGGTCAAATAAACAGCATGAGAAAGGGATGATTCTCTGCAGCTTTTCCACCTAGTTCTGTAGCAGGCTCTGGTTACAGGGCAATTTTCCAGCAAGAACAACTGAGACTGAGGTCAGAGAAGAAAATCAATTAGAAAACAGATCTGTGAGGTACCCTTGGAGACATCTCAGTGAGACTTTATAACATGGCCTCCTCATTCCCCTACTTCAAGAGTCTGTATTAAACTATTTACAGTCTGCATAAACAAAGAATGAGTGAAACCAGAGTGTTTTGAGAACCAGATGAGCAGGTTGCCCTTTCCTCCTTCTCCACACCTGGCAGAGAGGTGATGTTTCTGGTGAGATCGACCTGTATAGCTGTACTTGAGGGATTGAATTTCTCTTCTATTGAATTTTTTTTCCTGCCATTCCCTCGTGCTGCTTGCCTGTCCAGTAACCCTTTAAAAGGCCCAACCCCACCTTTACATCCAGGACTCACTGCTGACCACAACCTCTTTCCCCTGAGCTTTGTCATCAAAGCCCTCAGTTCAACTCCTGCCATAATTCTTTCTCGTGCGTGTTTACACTCCTCATGTTCCCACTTCAAACCCTTCACTGCATGACAACATCTTTGTGACCATACCAGGCTATATATATATATATAAATATCTCAGGGAACACTTATTTTCTGCAGGTTTTCTGTTGTCACTGGATCAGCAGGAGTAGCTGGGCCAGAGAGGCAACATTTTCCTGCAGGATCACCGCAGCCACACACCACCAGGATATTATGGAATACGCTCTCAGCGCTTTGCTTGGGCAGCACAGGGGGAATTGCTGGTCGTGCTCTCTGCAGTCAGACCTTTTTGGCCTTGAGCACGTGGTCTGAGCTGTGTTTTCAAAGCTTCTGCGGTCCTGGGAGCTGGATTGTCTCTCTATGTGACGTGGCAGCCAATTCTCACACTGCCTTCTGTGCCCTCTTCATTGTGCTGATGATACATTAGGAAAAAAGAGAGAGAAGACTGTGGATTGAGGGGCCCAAGAACCAGCAGCTGGTGGTGGGATCTCACCTGTTTCCCTTTGTAACTGAGCACCTTGAACTTCTGCAGTTAACCAGGGCTGCTGGTAGATGACTGAGAGTGGTTTGGCAAGTTCTTTCACCGCTTGCCTCGTTACTCCAGGGTGGATCCCATGTGGCTCATAGACACTGACTGGCACAGTAGGTCACTAACCATCTTATGGGAGCTTCACTCAGCCCCCATCCCCAGCTTCTAGCTCTGGGGGCTGGGTATCCTGAGGACAACTAGTTTTGATATTAAAGACTGAGGCAAAGAAGGCTGTAGTTGATATCCTCGTTGCCAGTGCCAGAGCTCCTTTGTTTATTCCAGCTCAACCCCCTTTCTGTTGTACCTGCTTTCCCAACTATTTGAAGCTGTCCTGTCTCCCTGAGCCCAGCCAGCCCAGCTGCCAGGACACATCCCCCCGAAGCTGCTGGGAAATCGATAGTGCTGGAAGGTGGGAAAGCAAACATCAGAGAGGACAAGCCCTGGAGCTGGATGCCTGGACACAGAAGCTGCAAGCTGTCATCACAGAGGGAAAGCAGGTGAACAGAGAGGGCTCAGCAGAGTGGGAGGACCTGACCGGTGAGCAACAGCTGCACTGAAGCAGAGAAGCCTCCACACCCACTTTGTTGAAAGCCAGTGGGTCTTGCATTGCTATAAATGTGTTTAATTGGGTGCTCAGGTGACAAATCATCCCTCCAAGTATTTAGTCATTAAAAAAAAAAAACCTCCCAGGAAAAAAAGTTTGTGGGTGCCAGGTACTTTATGACAGTGAAGTCACTGAGGTGAATCCTCACCAAGCATGATGAGAACAAACTTTGTTTTCCAGCACACCAGGGGCCTTCCAAGTGTTTTGCTAAAATTTTTGACTCATGGCTTAATGCTCTTCTCTCAGATGGTTACATCTGTGCTGCCAATAACTGAGGAAATACTGACTGTAACAGGTAGGCTGCCTTAGATGGATGATGGTGTCAGTTGTGTGTGGGTATGGCTTTTGACCCAACCATTTTATCCCAAACATGGCACTTACATTTTATTGTTTCAAGCAAATTTTACAGTGTTCTTCTGTTTTAAAGACTCTGATGTAGTAGCTTTCCACAAGCAGAGATACTTATTTGTATTTTAGAAGAAAAGCAAACAGAAG